CATCATCATCACCATCAGTCCCTACTATTAGTGTAGTTGTTGCTACTGTTGTTGTTGTAGGGAAAGAAAACATTAAAATCTCTGGTGCAAAGACATTCACTCCCCCAAAAAATAACATCAAGGAACTATGTGTTAAAAAGATGAAACCCCTGACCAGGTTGACTGCAAGGACACATTATTCATTGCTCATCTTGTCCAGTTATAATGGAAAGAACAAAATTTCACCCCTAAAAGCAACCACTCTGCAATTATAGCATGTGCTGATATTCTAAGTTTTCAAGTAGACGCTTCTGTACGTTTGTTTTTCACTGTAAAATTTATGGAATTAAGGCACAAATCCAAACCCTCCAAGCCTCTTTAAGTTGCTAATTGTGAGTAATTACAGTCTGCCTATTCAACCACTGTGTGGGTGGTAATACAATGTCCCACTTATTAAATGCTGCACCATTCTCCTCCTTGACATTCACCTTCCTCACTGAGGGGGCGTAATGAGCAGGCCTATTTTTTAGATATGCCTCCCTTTATTCACGTTACAAAATTGCTCTTATAAAGTCAAGGTATTTTCAGGATTCAAAATTGAATTGACTTTATTTGTCAACTGAAATTACAGTATGTTTAATTATGTATAAAAGTGTAATCAAAGTGCCGAACATTATCACCATAAAACCATAATTCTTCATGGACATTTTAGTATTATGGGCCATACAGGCAAAACAGATAATATTTCATTGGATTCCTGTGTTGCACTCTTTCAGTTCTTTAGTCATAACTTTCCAGTTTGTCAGAATGTTAGCATTTGTGTTACTGTATAATTTTCCACTGTGAAACAGTCTGAAAATTAAATTTTATTTCTCTCATTCACCGGATCTCACTATTGGTGTTCCCTCTCCTCATTCACTATCTATGTCGGTCGACCACCGAGTTCATAGTTTGGTAATGAACTCCAGCTGTATAGTGCCCAGTTTCAGTGACAGCAGTTTGACTGATGGCTGGTTAGGCCACTGCAGCAAGATGTTGGAATGTGTTTCTCCAAAAGTTTATTCAGTTTCAACTTCTGGGCCTCAGTTCATTATTTTTTTTTTTTTTTAGTAATCCCTGCAGCTCTCTACAGCTGCAGCCTAAACTGGACTGGATGCTGACCAGCACCAGCTTACAATTAAGATGTCAATAAAGAGGGAAATCCCATTACAGAAGTTAATGTAAGTTACTTTAGTAAATCCATTGTATGGTAATTTATCTATATTCCACTGCATTCCAGAGTGTATATAAACAGATTGGAATTTTATATGTGAGCCATATGATCAGTTTATGAATTGCACTGTTACAGATACTACCAAATATATTAGATACTGACATCAATAATAATAATAAAACAATATGATGTAATTATTGGTTAATGTGGTTCGCTGTGGTTAAGCAAGGAAACATAGTCTGCGGAAAGCAATCCTGTGACCAATAAGTTATTGGCTGATTATAAAAACAGACTTGAAAATATGTGAATCTCTTCTTTAAAGGGTAATTTTGGTATATTTCAACCTTCTCTTACCCTTTACTTGCAGCCACTAAATGGGCTATGGTGTAATCCTTATGAGAATGTGCACAGTCAAGAATATGTCCCTTAAAAGTGCTTGTTTTTGCCACTTAGCTGTTATTTTAAGTGTCTGAGAACCTGACTGTATAGAGAAATTAAACTTTCTATACTTTTCCCTTGTTCTGCTTGTTAGTCTTCCTGCAAGTTCTCACGTCTCATGTGATTTCAGGACAAGACTTCTCCTCGAGCAAGACAAGCAGTGTGTTCAAAGTCACATACTAACGTACTGCCTATTACATGCTCAGTCAGTATGTACTGCATTCTGCCTACTAAATTAATCATTAATTATGCCAACTTTTTTAAACTGGAGTATATTTAAGCATACATCTTCACTGTATCACATGGCTGTATTGATCACAACAAGCACCGACACAGCGCTGTGGAGACTGATCACAACATTAGGGTTGAGCTATCGTTAAATGAAAATAGTTTATTGAAAATGTAAATCAACATTACCTCTTACGCTTATCATATTTTTATATTATATTTTTATTGCAGCCAATGTAGCTCCCCTTGTTGGCCTTTACATAGAATGCAGGTTTAAGACACTTCCACGTTGGCTTTACTCACAGACCCAGAAGCTCTGTCCATATATACTGTATACTGTCAGTGATTCAATCTGACATTGTGTTCATGTTAGCCCATTTCTTGCTATTAAATTAATAGCAACTGATGTATCAGATGAAACAAAAGTTGTAAGTACAATAGGTGTTAGAACCAGTTTACGATATGATGATGATTTTTTGGGAAGATCAAACAAATATGTAAGTTATTTCTTATTATTTATTTACACCAACTTGTTTAGCAAACAACCTCCCCCACACTTGTCGTCATTTTCTGTGGCCATTCTTAATCCCCCTACAATGCTCTAAATGGTCATACATTTGTCCAACTGGTGGAAATGTATTTATGTATATCATTGATAGGCCTAGACTATCGGGGGAT